ATTTTTTCATTTTTTTTTTTAGCGGAGACAGGGTTTCACTCCTTCTCAGACTGGTCTCAATGTCCTATGCTCAAGCAGTCCTCCTGCCTCAGCCTCCCAGAGTGCTAGGATTATAGGTGTGAGCCACTGTGCCCCTGGCCTAAATTTCCTGAGAATGAGAATGTCTAAGAATGTTCAAATATGTACCACACACAAAACTGTTTGTATAGGTTTAAAATGTTTCAACATAAAAAAAGAAACTGTAATCCCAAATTGTAAATTCCAGCCCAAACTAAGACCAGGCAGTAGAAGAGCTCATCCATTGTTAGGCTATGTCTCTGCTTTTAACTAAGGCAAGATGAAGAAAAACAGAGGCACTTTGTATGTATAAGATTCCTCACTCTAGTTTTTCAACAGTTCTATGTTTAGAACAGAATTACATGTTCTGTTAGCAAGAACATGCTATTACTCTTTTAGTCTAATAATAAAGGGAAATCTAGGAGAAAGATGTTGGCTTTAAAAATATCAATTTAATTCTTATTTGAAATTGAGATCTAATTAATTTTTTAAATTATTTCCCCTGTTGTGCAAAGACTTCTAAGGAAAAGGATAAAAGAAAGAAGGAGATAATATTGTAACAATCTACAATTGTCTCAAGTTACATGAATATTAAAATAATAGCAATGAAGAAAGGGTTTATAGTGTCATTATGAAAAATGGAAAATATTAACCAAAGTCCTAGAATACGTATGGCTTGGTTTTATTATAAATAATTATGAGACTCATTAACCTATCACTTTCTCTTAAACTAAATGAAAGCAGAAATATAAAATATTATTATCTGTTTGTATTTACTCTGGAGAAACTGAGACACAGATAATGGTTCATAATGGTTCAACTCGAGACACACATAATGGTTCAACTAGTTTTAGAACCTTGATTTTTCTTTCTTATATGAAGTAAAGATTTTTATCCTCACAAGAAAAATATATATTATTGAAGCTATAAACATGATAGAAATAATCAACTGACCAAACAAGGAACAGCTGTATAAAGGAAGGGGAGGGAGAATAATTAAAACATCCTAACCGAGGCCATCATAGGTTAGCTTTAATAGATTCAAGAAATAGAATAAATAGTGTCATGAACCAAGCTTTACTGAAGTGATAAAAGAAACTAGGAGCTCCAGAAAGAAATACCACTTGAGCCACTGTGCCCAGCTTAAGTATTATTGCTTTGAGAAGTTCTAGCACTCAGGGAGGCCAAGATTGGCAGATTGCTCAAGTTCAGGAGTTCAAGACCAGTCTGAGCAAGAGCAAGACCCCATCTCTCCTAAAAATCAATAAATTAGCCAGATATTGTGGCAGAGCACCTATAGTTCTAACTACTTAGGAAGCTGAAGCAGGAGGATCACTTGGGTCCAAGAGTTTGTTGCAATGAGCTATGACACCACAGCACTCTACCCAGGGTGAGAAAGTGAGACTGTCTCACAAAAAAAAAAATAAAAAGAAGAAGAAGAAGAAGAAGAAGAAATGATACTTGAGAATGATTTCTAGATAACGATTGGTAGAATAAAACCTTTTTCCCCCAAAAGTCAATGAAAATAAAAACAAAAGGTAGAGAAAAACATCAATTTCAAGTGATAGATAAAACTTCCAACATGAGATTATGAAGCATGCATGCCAAATGTGGTAGATCATTCGAGATAAGGAAGAAACCCGATAGCTGATACCTCTTAGGTCATTAGCAAGAAACAAACTGCTTGTAAAATCAACTGTAAGCATTTAGACAGGCCTTCTCGTGACTCTTTGTTTAGAGCTGAGATCTATAGACCGTGGGTGGATCACGTAATATTTAACAGTACAAAGTGATGAAGAGGGAAAAGGTGAAGGAGAAATCATAATGAAATTGTATTTACTTTGTTTAGGAAACAGCCCCTAAGCTTGAGCTTGAGGTAAAGAGACAGAAAAGAGGGGGAGGAAGCTGATAATGCTCGGAATCAACACAGAAATGGCTTGAATGGCTTTACCGGGAGCCACACGAAGATCCTGAATTTCTTAATGTTTTTTGAAATATTTTCTTCATTATTTTTAAATTTAGAGATATCTTTTATGACCTAATATTTCTCATGAAAAGTATTAATTTAAAATTCATTAAAACTGTCAATTTAATATAAACTTATATTCTGTTGGACTAAAATAAAATACTTTTAATTTTAAAAAGCATACGTCTATAACAGACAAGCCTAAACCACAGAGCTTAAGTTTACACACATGGATAAAACTAAAAACACAGGGAATGACTAATAATGGTTAATGATTACATGTGGCAAAGGCAGGCGTTGTGCTTGGCATAGAACACACAAAAGAGGTTTCTGGGATACCTGGCAAAATTGACCTGGGTGGTGTTCACCTGGTAATCATTCATTAAGCTACCTGTTTCACCTATGTTTTCTACATCTCTGAGTTTTATTTTATAATCAAAAGATTGTTCAAAAACCATATGTCAGTGAGGCACAGTAGCTCCTATCTGTAGTCCTAGCACTTTGGGAAACCAAGGCTGGTGGATTGCCCTGAGCTCACAGGTTCAGACCAGCCTGAGCCGGAGAGAGACCCCGTCTCTAAAAATTAGCCTGGTGTTGTGGCAGGCACGTGTAGTCCCAGCTACATGGGAGGCTGAGGCAAGACAATCTCTTTAGCCCAAGAGTTTGAGGTTGCTGTGAGCTATGATGCCATGGCACTGTACCAAGGGTGACAGAGTGAGATTCTGTCTCAAGAAAAAAATAAATGAATAAAAATAAATAAATAAAAAGCATATGTCTTAAAATTCTACTTATGCCTATCGATGTATTCATCCACTCACCTTTGTACAATATACAATGCGTAGAGAAATGTACAGACTAATGTTCACTACACAATAATAACTATAGTATTTAGGCAATACAATTTGGATGTTTTACTTTTCTTCATCATTATCTTTCTTCATGGCTTGACTTTATTTAGGTTTTATTGTTAAATATTTTAGGCATACAAAAAAATATATAATGTTATAAATACAGGGCACCAAGTTTAAGAGAAACAAAAGTGAAATTTTCTGGTCACTTCCTTTTCTGGTTCCATTTCCCTTCTTCTCTCCCTCAAAGCTAATGCTATCATGAATTCAGTGATTAATATTCCAATGCATGTATTTATATTCTTATAGTGCATGCATGCAAACCAATATAACTATCTATGATAGTATCATACTTCACCTACCTTTGAGCAACTTTTTCATGTACTATTTTTGACAATTAACTGTGATGGTAAATTTATTATTTAAATGCTATATGTAATCCCCTTAATAAACTATTTTTTTTCCATCAAAGGAAAGGTTTTTAACTTTTTCACAATTATAAATAATAGTGCAGGTCGGGTGCAGTAACTCAAGACTATAATCCCAGCATTTTGGGAGGCTAAGGCAGGAAGATCACTCAAGGCCTGGAGTTTGAGACCAGCCTGGGCAACATAATGAGACCCTGACTCTATAATAAAGAAAAAAGATTAGCTGGGTGTGATGGCATGTGCCTATAGTCCCAGCTACTTAAAGACAGACACAGGAGGATCACTTGATTCTGAGGCTATAGTGAGCTACACTGATGCCACTGCATTCCGGCCTGGTTAACAAAGCGAGTGCCTGTCTCTAACAGCAAACAAACAAAAACAATAATGCAATACAAATTCTTATACATATGTGCCAGAATTTCTCTAGGGTATATTCTTAGGAGAGAAATTATAAGGTCATAAGGTATAAACTGTTTTAACCTTAGAGATCAAATTAATAAAACTGAGTAAAATAGCTGAACCATTTTATTTTCCTACAATAGCATATAGGAGTTTCTGCTTTTAGTTCTTAGATTTTGCCAATGTAAAGAAATAGAATCGCATTTAATCTATATTTCTCTAAAAAGTAGTTCATCCTCTAAAAAGAAGTTCAGTATTCTTTCATATGTTTATTGAATATATTCTTCTGTGAACTGCCGCTTCACTTTGAAAAAAAAAAAAAAAAGAGGGTGGTGCCTGTGGCTCAAAAGGGTAGGGCAACAGCCCCATTATGCCAGAGGTGGCAGGTTCAAACCCAACCCCCAGCCAAATAAATAAATAAATAAATAACAAAGAGAGACAGTGTCTTGCTCTATCATGCAGACTACTGCAGTGCGGTAGCTCTACCCTAACTCACCGCAGCCTCAAATTCCTGGGCTCAAGCCCTCATCCTGCCTCAGCCTCCAGATTTTCTCTACAGAGGAGAATCTCACTATATTGCCCAGGCTGGTCTATAACTCCTGGCCACAAGTGATCGTCCCACTTCAACCTTCCAAACTGCTGAGATTACAGGGTGAATCACCAGGTCTGGTTTTATTTTTTATCCATTCTATCAGTTGAGCTATCTTTTTTCTTATTCAATTAAAAGCCTTTTTATATATCTCAGGTAACATTTTCCCCCTTAAAACTGTGTTATGTTACTTTTAAAATTTTTAAATAATTTTTAACTTACAGAAAATTTGCAATTATTATGAAAGAAGTTTTTTCCTGAGCCATCTGCAAATAATTTAGTGACATGATGCTCAATCATCCTTGAATACTTTAATGTATATTTCTAAAACTCTCCTACGAAACATTCTTCTACATAACCTCAATACAACCAATGAGATTAGAAAATTAACATTAATGCTCCCTATGTAACACTAAAAACTAAAAACAATATTGATTATTCTTTTCAAGAAAATTATAAAGAATTGATACTAAAGGTTTCTACACCAAATCATGGTATCTGCTTCTCAACAAATGGTAATAAGGCAGCTTTAAAATTCTTTATTCTTTCAACGGGAGAAGCATACATTAGGATTGACAGCAGGTGAATAATTGCTTTCATTTTTTCCCTATTCTTGACAACACAAGAGGGAATGAGGTTCAATTGCTCCTGGAAATTTGAACATTATATCAAACTTTCTCAGAGTAATTGCTGGAAAAAGCTGGGAGTAAAATCTCCTTTGGCAATTTCTTTTCAAAGATTTCCTTCTGGAATACTCTTAATACAGACCTGTTCAGAAGCTAAGGCTAACCTTCTAAAATCTCCTTAAGACCTAAGGTTCTTTTATCTCTTTTTATCTTGTGTAACTTATTTATGAGTTACATATATTCAGTGTTATTTAAGGTCAAATTAGATAGCAAATGTAAAAGTAACAATAAATGACTGCAATTTTTTTTTTTATAGTTAGCCATTTATCAGGAATTATTTTGATTCTTCATAGGTTATTTTCATTTATTCTTTAGGACAACACTGTGATGATTACACAGAGTACCTTCAATAGAAAAATGGGAAGAGAAAAATCAGAAATGGCAAGATAACGCTTTGGGGAATTTTTTTGAAGAAAAAAAATGGGATAGTAGAGCTGAAGAAAGAAATGAACTCAGGACACATTTGATTGTCTTTAAATAGAAGAAAATACAATCATCATTGTATGTGATGGAAAAGAGATGCAAAGAAAGAAATATGGACAGCCAGAAAAGGTATCTCCTTGGGACTGAGATCTAATGCAAAAGTATAGTGCCTGGTTTTCGTTGGGAGAAAGCACCATTTATCCATATTAACAGGAGTGAGGAATGAATGTAAGGGGGGAATAAAAGAAGAGTTACTGTGGGTAGGCCACAAGTGTGCATAATGTATAGTGTTTCTTATCTTCTTCTATGGAAAAGTGTGTTATATATATAAATCACGAGGTAGATCTTGGCAGGAAAAGGGGTACAGACTGCTAAACTAGGGCTACTCCTCTCCACCCTGAATCTACTTTCCTTTAGTAGTTTTCTTTAGACTTTGCCATGTTCCTAAAGGTTTTGTCAGTTTCTGTCTGCACTATTAGCCATTACTATTCCTGAGGCCAAAATTATCATAAGGAAAAGTCCAGAAAGCTGAGTTAGAGATGGCATTCCTTAAGAAATGTTTTCTGTTTCAATAAAAAGTACATGTGAGGATAAGAATTTTAGAAGAAAAATATGTTCCTTTTTTTTTTTTTGCATCTGTTTCCTCTCCAACTAAATGATGCCACAGTTTATAGATCTTTATCTAGAAGTTCTGAATATACCAATTGGCCGGCTTAACTCACTGATTAGACAAAAAAGTTATAAATAAATTCTAAAACATAATTTCTTCTCTCATTTTCTGTCTACTAAAAAATGAGTCATTAGATTGCTTTGAAACATGAGTGTTTCATATACTATTCAAAGGACTTCTCAGTTATAAATAAATAAAGAAGCTAAATATAAACGACATCCATACCTCTCACAGCTGACTGGGAAGGCTGAGTCAAAACTCTGATGTCTAATGCACTGTTGATACTTTCTTCCACAGTAGCACAATATCCATCCACAACACTAACAATAGTATCCTTCAAAGTTCCAAGATTGTGGAAAACCTGAAGAGCTGTTCCAACTTGAGTAGGATTCTTAAAAAAACGTGAAATAGAAGCACATATAAGTAGGAAAACCAGTAACAAAAAGGTAAGTATACAACTTTAAGTGCTAACTGCGCAGTCACTGATAATTTTTAAACTATCAAAGACAAGAACAAAGACAATTTGGAATGAAAATTACTTTTAGTCATTATTTGTTTTATAAAATACAAAGTTAAAAACTGTGTATACTATACTCTTATTCCTTTTTGTCTTCCTTTAAAGGGTTATGACAAGTTTGGAAGTATTACGTATAATATTAGAGCAGTGGTTCTCAACCTTCCTAATGCTGCAGCCCTACTACAGTTCCTGTGGGTCGTGACCCACAGGCGGAGAACTCCTGTATTAGAGCTTATTTAAAATTTACCATCAATCTCTATAAAAAGAGTCATGCTTGAACCGACAACAATCATCCATTTGTTTAGAGAGTAAATAAATGGCTTCAAATTAGCTGAGCATGCGCCTGTAGTCCTACTCAGGAGAAGGAGATGGCAGGCTCCCATGAGCCCAGAAGTTTGAGGTTGCAGTGAGCTATGGTCACACTGCTACACTGTAGCCTGGGCATACAGACTGAGACATGGTCTTAATAATAAGAATGACGATAATAATGAGGAGGATAAGGATGAGGAGGGTGGGAGGAGGAGACAAGGGGGACTTCTGTAGAGTTGGCTAAGAACTGAGCCATGCAGACTTATACTATTTATTATATTTCATTCATTGTAACGACAAACACTTGTATAGTGCCTACTGTGCATTTGTCATAGTTGGGGATGCTTGTAATACGTTAGTGAAACAAAACCAAAGCCCGCATGGAGCTTCCATTTATTGAGAATGCAGAAAACATAAATAAAACAGAGTATCACATCGTAATACGTGCTATAAAAAAGAAAAACAGGGAATAAGAACAGAGAATGATGGGAATTCTTATATAGAAAGAAATCAGAGAATGCCTCTCTGAGGTGACATTTAAACAAAAACTTGAACGAAGTGAGGGAGGGAGTCTAAGGAGGCTATGAGGAAATACAGATCCCGGTAGCAGTACTGGCAAAGGTACTGAGATAGAAGGGTGCTTGGTATGCTGGGAGAGTAGCTGGAGTAGAGGGAAGCAGATACAGGTGGAAGACGAGGCAGCCAGCAGAAACACTACCAATAAGGAGATTATGCCTAGACTGATATAAACAGACTGCTGGATTTGTGGCTAAGTAAATGATTAAACTGTCAAGCTAATACATTTCCAGGCCCAAATAATTGAAATTCTTCTTTCACTGATGATTCAGTGTCTGTTAAAAAGTTAAATTATTTCATTAACTTATCTTCTAGACTAAGTTTATTTAAACTTGTTACTTCTGAAATCTACTGGTGTTATTTTAAAATAGTTCATGCTGCAGACACACAAACATAGGCAAAGTAGAATCAGCTTAAAGAAAACAACAGGAAACATGATTGGTGAACAACAATACCTATGTGAAAAAAAATTTTATTAAAAAAGAAGCAAATGGATATTATTTCAGATATGTTCTAAGAAAGAAGCTTACTTAATATTGTCATAATATAATAGGATTTAATTCTGTTACATATTCTAAATTCTCTATTAGTGTACCAACAAAGAAAATAAGAGAAAATAAACTATATCACATAAAATTACTGACTGAAAACATGAGTGAGACATGGGATTGGCTTTTATTGTTATTTCCACTTTTTTTTGTTTTACCCAATACTGATTTATTTTTAACATTTTAATAAAATCAAGAATCAAAATTAGACAGCTATAAGGAAATTTCCCATACCACCATTGAAGTGTATGTGTAATTCAAGACATTACTAGAGCAACTTCAGAGTTCTTTCACCTCATAAAACTAAAATACAGATGTATACTTTAAAATCATACTTATTACATTTATTATCCTCAAAGGATCTGAAAAGCATAGCTTCTTCACACCCAGTACAGCTTCAGTGTTACTATC